CTGAAAGAAAGTACTAATTTCTTAAAAAAATATACATGTGGGTGGCTTATAATAGCACAACTCTCTAACAAAATTATGATCTCCAGGAAGAGACTAACTTGACATTTAATGGGGTTGATATCAATAGGAACAACCATCCAAAGTGTCACCACAAAGAAAAACAAAGATTCCATGTGTAAGGGACAAATTAGGCAAATCGACATATGGTGCACATCGCAATGAAAAGGTCAATAGAGATTTTTCAATTAAGGGTTTATTTCAGTCCAATTAATGTTTTCATTCATCTTTTTAAACTGGCATAGTAAACAATCCATATAAATCTTTACTTGAACACATCAGTGGATATTATCTTTTATATCCAAGCTACTGGGGGTGAACTTCTAGATTGGACGTTTTTAATAAGCACAGTTCAGTCAGTGTAGTTCAGAACCAACAATAAAACAGCATCAAAGACGCTAGCTGATATTGAGAGAAATTAATTGTCATGCCTGGAAATGTATTTATACTGTATGTTAATACACAAAAATACTGACTAATGGGGACCACATATTTCAGCCATCCTACTAGACATTTCTCTCATTTGGGTGAGGGTTGCTGACTCTTTCAGAAAGGAGTGGATTCCTCAGCAATTCTGTGGCTGTGTGACATAGAGGCTTTGAATAGGGGAATGTTACTCGGCATGTACCGCCCATCTGCAGCTTTTAATGCAAAACATATGCTGCCATACTGACCTACTATTCAGCATCTGTCAGAGAAAGAAAGAGTAAAAGAGGAGTAAAAAAAGAAAGTGAACAAAGCTACCATCCTACCAGATACAGCTTAACTTGTAAAACCACTTCTGAAATATCGAGGCCAATCACACTGGACCCAGATCCACCAAACAATGGTGAGGAGACAATCAAGATATTGACTTGATATCTTTCTTTTAAAACAAAGAGGCCACAAAAGCAAGACTGCTCTTCTCTAAAATGATGAAATAAATATTAAAGGGGTCATATGATGCTTTTTTAAAGATCATTATTTTGTGTATTTGGTGTAACAGAATATGTTGACATGCTTTAATGTTCAAAAAACACATTATTTTTCAAATACTGTACATTATTGTAGGTCCTCTATGCCCCGCCTCTCTTAAACGCTTCGTTTTCTACAAAGTCCCTCCTTCCGACAAGCGCAGTCTGCTCTGATTGGCCAGCTGACCCAGTGCATTGTGATTGGCCGAACACCGCAAGCACTCGTCGGAAATGTAACGCCCCTTGAAAACTTGAAATCGCATCACATGACCCCTTTAAACAAAGTGTTCAGTGTGTTTGGCCCGAAGATATCATGGGCATTATGGACAAAAATGCCCTCATACTACATACACAAAGCTTTATGAATTAGTTTTCTAAGTAGAGTAGATGAGGCATATTGGTGATATGTTACATAATCAAAATAACCTAAATTGCTCTTGCACAGCTGGTATACATCATAAAATTGGGCACTGTTGTGTAACAGACATTACCTCTAGTTCATATTTCAGAAATCATTTAATTTCCTTTGAGTGGTCATGAGTCATGACCAGAGTAGAATCATCATGTCTTAATGGATCACTCATGATATCTGTGATATTGTGACCATATGACCACAGCTAAACACAAGTCTGCTTATTCTTTGCAGAAAAAAAAATGCTTTATCAAGACCGAATGATAATATTGCTATACATACTAACTACCACAGACAGCATGGAGCATCTACAAAAATGGTTTGTCCCATATGCGTAAAGCCCAAGGGAAACTAGTTCCACCAGCTTCATGGCTTGCAGAGAATGTCTCTGCGTGCACTGAAGAGACAGCTGAACTGGATTTACTTGTTTTTCACCTGACCTGTAGGCTACCTGTTCTTCACTAGCTGACAGGCTGAAAAAGACACTGAATGTGAGACAAGCAGGGTCTGTGAAAGCATCCTACCATGGGATCCAAGGATCATACAAAGCCGAAAACAATCAAGCGTAACAGAAGCCTAATATTGCTTGAGGAGCTATGAAAAAACGGTGTCGCTTTCTACCATAACAAGAGGAAACGGTCTCATTGAGGACACACGGATAAGCACACACACTTATTCAAAGCAGAACCCAGCCCATCCTTATGGGCATATGTACGGAAGTGAGTTTCACATGCGACTACACCTACCTGCATCTCTGTGTGTCCTGTAACCATGGACACTACTGTTTGTAACTTAGTTTTCCACTATTACATAAGACTAAGCCAGGTTGGCATGACAGAATATGTTAATGATGAGTGAAAAATAATTGCAAATGTGTCTAACAATAACACTGATCTGGGAAAGTAGAAACACAATGGTTATCTATCTGACTCAAGCCTGGACAAACACATAGTGCTAAAAATAGCAAGAAACTAGGTTGTAAGCAGGACCAGTATAAGTACAACCTGTTCAAGAAGGGCTGAGAATTAGAGACTGTTTCTATCTAAGTGAACAAGAGATGGAGGGCAAACAATAGCTGAATACGACACCCAGCAGGAGCTGTTAGACCAGCCACTACATTCATAAGATGTTCATAATAACAACAACGTGGCCATAGAATAACTAAAAACGTACACAGGGTGGATGTACATACACAAATCCCTGGTAAATTTACATTTATGTAATTAATATAGAATGAAAAAAATGTTTAGTATAAGTTTGTAATTGTTTTGACCACTGAAAGAAAAAAGAATTTATGATACCAGTTACATATATTAGTACCCTATTACCCTATACGATTCAGTGAATGGTCACATCTATCTATCTATCTATCTATCTATCTATCTTTTTTGTAAATGACCACAGAAAGAAGTTACAAAAATAACAACAAGTAGCTGCTGTAGCCTACTGCATGTCGATAAGGATGCTGAAAACAGGAGCAGTGTCTCGTGTTCATCTCTGTCGTACGTGACCTGTGGGAAGTACATTTTCACTCACCATTTTTATTCGTTTATCACAGCGCAGCCGATCTTCTGATATAATCCGTTCTGTAACTGGTTATTAAAACAAAATAAGCCTATTAAAAGTGTCTGGGTAATGTCACGGTCTCTTTTGGCCTCTGGTGCTGTTAAATGTCTCCTCAGGACCAGTGTCACCGCTCCATAATAGTGTACACCGCCCCGGTAAACCGCTCGAGCGCACTGCCCGTACTGCAGTGAGCGTCTGCTCTACAAAGTTAAACTTTGTGGCCGCTGGTTGACGGAATCAAAGAGGAAAACAACCCATAAATGGAGAATTTCGTGCGTTGCCTTTGGCCAATAGGAGCGCCGCTCGGCGCGTCATTCCGAAGGGAATCCCACCAGATGATTTCGGGTGTATTAATGCGCGTCCTATATGCGCAGGGAGCTGCGTAAAATATATTACTACATCACTGTACTGAACAATAAGTTAAATTAGAATACAGCAATATAATTGAAGCAAATTGTAATTATTCAAAGAAGACGTATAGGTTATCATTATATCTTACCTTTAATTTTATCAGTGAGTTTGATTGTGAAGTATCTATTTGTTAAATTCTATTATGAAAAAAACAATAAGATGCTTTTTTGGAGTTCAAAACCAGATTTTTCATGAAAGGTCGTTTTTATATATTTTTTTATATTTGTGAAAATGTTTATATTATTCTAAATTATATTTATATAATTTATTATTATTATTTATATTTTCAATATTTTTGTTCTATATTTATATTTCTATAAATTATATCTAATATTATATTATTATTATTAGTATAGTAGTAGTAGCCTATATGTAAATGATCATTACTTGTTTTAAATGTTCATATAAACACTTTACAAAACTCTTTTTCAGGCCATAACCTTATGAGTTCTCCTTTTAGCAGCTCATATTTCAAGGGGAACCTTTTAGTTCACAATTTTTAAGGAACCTTTGACAACTTTTTAAGAGAAACTAAACCAACAAGGACTGACAAAATCCCTCACTCTATCCATCTATTTACAGCCGTGAAGCAAATTGCTTTTATAGGTTTAAATTAAAGAGTACACTACTGTTCAAAAGTTTGGGGTTATTTATTTATTTTTTATAAAAAAATAAATGATTACTTTTATACAGCATTGACACATTAAATAGATCAAAAGCGACAGTAAAGACATTTATGATGTTACAAAATATTTATATTTTAAAAAATCATGTTTTTCATCAAAATTGCTAATACATTGATAATCACACTGATAATAATAAGAAATTTCTTGAGCATCAAATCAGCAAATGATTTCTGAAGGCTCATGTGACAGTGTCACTGACTGGAGTATGGCTTTGCAATCAAAGACAAATTACATTTTAAAATATATTAAAATATAAAAAAGTTCAAAATATTTCAAATCATTTAGATATTTAACACTAATACTGTTTTTACTGTATTTTATCATATGAACGAAGCATGAGATTCCTCTTTAAATAAAACATTAATAATCACAACCACCTCAAAACATTTAAATGGTAGTGATTATATTATATTTTATTATATTTTTAACCTGTCCAACTTTACAATCAAATAGCGCATTCAGGTTTAGGCACTACAAGAGAAATGGATGATAACATGAAAGCATTTTATAATTGTATTTGAGAAAGGTATTCTGAGTAAAGAAGAACTGTATTTTCATTTTGTGACCTTACTGAGACTCTGCATGCAAAATTACAATCATTCCAGTAGGTGGAGCCATAGTCCATTAATACACTCCAGCTAAACTATGCAAAACATTGAAAACGGTCTATAAAACATTTTTAAGAAACATTTAAATAGTGGACTTATAAAGCGTATTCTCTGCATTCGAATATTTAAAATTCTAGTTAGCCCAATTCTAGCTCATATATAGAATTAAATATATATGTTAAAACGCTTAATATATTTTGAATATTATAAACAATATGAACATTCGTATTTAAAAAACAAAACGCTCCAATGGTCCACAGGGCTCGCCATAGCTCACTCCTCCTCCTGTTTTTTTGTGGTCCAGAGCTCAAGCACGCTGCACCTCCCCCTCCCCGTTCCTCCTTTAATAAACATGGCTGAACTGAACACGGAGGGTGGATTACAGGACTGAACCCGTCTGCTGCAGCACTGTTGATTCACACAAGAAGACTGAGCATGATGTGAATGTTTACAGCGGGGAGCCAAAGCAGCAAAAGGTTGAGTTTGACAGCCGCTAACGAAGAGACTTGAGCGGGACAGACCAGCTCCAGCTGAGATACTACTGCATGCAAAGCGTAGACTAAATACTGCTTTTGCATTTATAGAAACTATGCTTGTCTACTGAAGAAACCCTGGATTTAATGCTCTGAAGTAGCCCAAACCAGTTTGGCTTACATTTGAAAGAGTTTTAAGCTGCTCTTATATGGATTTACAGTTCGCATTTTTGTTATATTGTCCCGTTTAAATGATGTTCTCCGGTAAACAAACGAAGCCGACTTTTAAGTCTTATCTTCCTCCACTTCAGGTGAGTGAGACACTAGCATCATGCTAACGAGTAGCAGCTAAAACAGTCGTCATACTCGTTTATTAAACTGTTCTGCACTTGTATAAGTATGTTAAGAAAACTGTCACCCCATATGTTTGACACCTGGACGACTGCTAACCTCAACGGCGGTAAAGTTAGTTTGACGTTTGACGTTCATTAGACATTCGGGTTTTTTGCCAAGTAAACTCTTTGCGGCTTTTATGTTTTGAGCCCAAACTAACTCAGATAGACATAAATATATGCCCTTTATGTTGCACAAGGCTTAATTTCTAGGAATTAAAAATAAATAAAGTAACCATTTAAATTAATTAAACAATGTAACTACGTGACATTATAATATAAAACCAATACTAAAATGTTTGGGAAAACATACCTGTTATCGCACAAAGCTCCGTTTTTGGAATTACAATTTTATGTTTTTTATAATAATTTTACAACTTTTAATGTATGCAATAATATAAATCCATTAAACGACAACACCATTTGATCTAAAGGTATCAAACAAACTGTAAAATATTCAGAATATTATTCCCTATAATGCACAAGTCTTGGTTTTCCAGATTATGCCTTTACTGTTTTTATATACAGTACTGAAACCATATTTTTCATATGTTTTATATACTGTACCCACTTAAATTAATTAAACTCTGACACCGTTTGAGATAAAGGTATCAAAACAACTATAACAATATTCAGAATATTATTCAATTTAATGCACAAGGTTTGTTTTTTCAAATTATGCCTTTACTGTTTTTATATATAGCACTGAATCCATATTTGTCATGTTTTATATACTGTACCCACTTAAGGGCATATATTTATGTCTATCTGAGTTAGTTTGGGCTCAAAACATAAAAGCTGCAAAGAGTTTAATTGGCAAAAAACCCGAATGTCTAATGAATGTCAAACGTCAAACTAACTTTACCACCGTCTAACCACGATAGTCAAGCTTTCACTTGGTTTGATAGTAGTGTCCTCCGTAACTCAGGTGTGTCAGCTGTAAACAGTGTTTACTTTGTTAATGATTTTAACAAAGCACTACATGTATTTAGACATGTAGGGTAAGATGGGGCAAGATTCCCTCCTTTTAGAACAGTGTGCATTTACTTTTAACTTGTATCATATTTAGATCTATATTTAACATGTGCAGGATGATGATGCATCAGCCAATGTGTTACTAATGGAAATAAATGAATCTGAAATGTACATCTAACTCATGGAATGTTTTAATAATGACCCCAAGAATTATAATTACAAGTGTTACTTTAAAAAAAAAAAAAAACCATTACAACACTAGAAACAACGTGCTAACCCAAAGATTCTAATTTATCTTTTCATTTCAGAATAAAACAATAGTTTTTACTCCACAAATCTAAAAACATTTAGTGTCAAATTCCTCATTAACAAATAGACACAAAAACCGTTGACATTCAACACAACACAATGTCACCGATTACTATTTTTCAGAGACACAAAAATAGATCAGTTAACGGTTTTGACCATTTTTGAGGAACCTTTGTTTATATGAACAAATGTTGATATTCAGAACAAATGACAAAATGAAGAAGAGCATAGCCACGCATTAAATGTGTTGAAATTAGATTTTGTGCCATATGGGCAAGAGAAAAATGTAAGCGTAAAGATCTAGGTCTTGCATACCTGCAAGAGATTAAGTGATTTTAAGTGTTTTTAATGTTTTACACAGACTGACTCGAAGAAAAGTCCTCAACTGCCCATCAAGAAACTAGAAGCAAAACTTCTACCAGGTAAGTGACTTTCAGAACTATTTACTCTGGAAGAAAGAAAGCTGAATCAGTTATCATGACAAACAACTCATAACGGTCACAGGGTTGGGGTGGTGTGGCTTAGTAGATGAAGATTTGGTCTGGTAATTGAATGTATGTAGATTCAAACCCCCGTGGACTATTTCACAAAGCTGGTTTCAGTGGCTTCTTCTCAGATAAGTTGGAGTTTAGTTTGGGCAAATTCTGGTTTTTCAGGTTCAAGAAGATGGATTGGTTTTACTTGTGCTCATCACCATAAGATCAGCTGTGAGCAAAGTGACATATATCTGATGCAGTAAAGTCACTCACTGTATTTCTTCCTCCAAATTAAAGCAGTTCACAGGTAAAGCAATTAAGAAGAGCATAGCCACTCATTAAATGTGTTGAAATGAGATTTTGAAATGAGTTAATTAATGTATTACACATAAGAAATTTTCAAATTTGTTTTGTATTTCATTTAAAAAAATATAACTACAAGCTTTATAATATATAAAGCTTTTGAATTGGTTAAATTGGCACGTTTTATTTTAAGCTCTTTGTGAAACTATATAAATTAATAATTAAATTCAGTTGATTCACTTGCATTAATATAGTCAGAAATATTCTTTGAGTTGGCTTCTTGAATTCTCATGGCAGCAGCAGCAGTATTTTTTCTCCCTTATAAATACGTTTAAAGTCATGATATTTTCAACGATTTCTTAATCTCCAGAAGAGAAGAGAATTGTGCTGACTCTCTCAGAGGAAGTGAATCAAGCTGATGCTCTCCATGCAAAAGTTTGCAGATGCCAAACTTTAAAATGCTATGCTCCAAAGTTAATCATAAACTCTGGATCAACCCCTGAACTGACTGAGAACATTTATAACAAGTTTTCTGAACTTGCTGAATCTGATCTAAGCTGGTTGGTATTTGTTTGGTTTCGTCAACTCTAAGCCTACTTGTTCAACTAGCTTAGTGTAGCAGACCACTGAATAGGCTGGTTTATGAACTGCGTTTTTTTCTAGGATTGCTTTTGTAAATTGTACAGTTAATTACTTTGGATCAGAAAGCATCTGCTAAATGAAAACTAATGTCATTTTAACAATTTGGTGGTTCTTGTTTCAATCCCCTCCCTTTGCTGTTCAATATGCCACATTTTGGTACATTGTCAATCAACAGAAGGCCGCCTGTTAGTTTCCATAGCAATCAGTTGTCTTTTGCCCTTTTCTCTATTTTTACCATTGCATCACCAATCAGCTTCTGCTATTGTGAGGTGAACATTTGGCAGGAGAGAACTGCTTGTGAGAGAGAGAGAGAGAGAGAGAGAGAGAGAGAGAGAGAGAGAGAGAGAGAG